GGCCTCAGACGGACCAAGAGTCCCCTGAGACTGCCCAGGAGGTTCCAAGAGGCCACCAGCAGGCTCCCAGGAAGCGCCCATTGGGCCCTAATGAGCCCTGCGTGTCTTCCGACTCTGCCTCCTCCTCCTCCTCCTCCTCCTCCTCCTCCTCCTCCTCCTCCTCCTCCTCCTCCTTCTCATCATCCTCATCCTCATCCTCATTCTCATCCTCCTTTCCTCCCTCGTCATCGTCCTCCCTCTCCTCCTCCTCCTCGTCCTCCTCCTCCTACTGTTCCTTCTCCTCCCCCTCCTCCAACTCAGCCTCCTCTCTCCTCTCCTGCCTCCTCCTCCTCCTCCTCCTCCCCCCCCATACAGCGCGGACGAAATTGAGGTCGAATTCACGACCCGCCTCAGATCAGACCTGTCGCTGAACTGCAGTGGGGCATGATATCGACCTCTTCCCTACCACGCGGACGAAGACGAGGTCGAGGTCACGGCTCACCCAAGTTCAGACCAGTCGGCGGAATTGAGCTGTTCCTACACCCTTATTATTGCTCTTCTTCTTAATAATAGTGGTAGTATTGTTATCAGCAGTATGACTAGTACTACTATTATTATTCATGCTGCGCTGTTACAGAGGCACGATTGCTGGGCTCGCCGCAGGCAGCTGGATATTGGATGAAGAGGGGCAGCTGATATGTGTGTTGAATAGTAACGTGTGTTTGCATACATACATACATACATACATACATACATGCATACATACATACAGACAGACAGACAAGCAGGCAGACATACATGCATACATATATGCACCGACCCATATATATATATATACACCTATATATGCATATATATACACCTCCATGCTCCTATATATTTATATATAGATATTTGCATACGTGCATACACATCTATACATATACGTAATACATATAACTACATAAAAATATACACGCATGCATGCATGCATGCATGCATACATACATACATGAATGCACGCATGCCTATATATATATATATACATACATATGTATGTGTGCATACATACATGCACAGGTCTACACATACATATGCACAACGATGTATACACATGTGTTTGCGCACGTACACACATGCGTGCATGTATACATACGCATATATATATATAGATATACACGTTCACATGCATACGTGCATACAAGCATGCATGCATACATACATAAATGCATACCCACACACGTATATGCATGCATACATGCATGCATACATACATACACACACATATACTCACATATATACATAGATGTACACATACATACACGTACATATGCATGCACATGTATACATGCATACAGTCATTCGCGTATGCATGCATGCATGCATGCATGCAACACACACACACACACACATCCACAAGCATACATGCATGGATGCATGCATGCATTCATGCGTGCATGCATGCATGCGTACATGCATGCATGAATACATGTGCATGCATATACATAGACCTGCAAATGTCTAACTATAACTCTATATGTATAGATGTATATCGATGCTGCTTCTCGAATATTATCATCAGGCAGGACCCACCGTACAAAAATTCAGCCAATGGGGGCTCCCACCAACGTGAAATGCGAATTCTCGGTTTCGGGAAGCCCTCCTGGCCATCCTACGCCGCCCGAGCGAGCCCAGGATCGCTTCCCGGACGGTCCCGCGGAGCCCCGAAACGGCCCAAGGCCGCTCCAGAACGGCCCATGAGCGCTCAAAGAGGCCCAAGGTGACTTCAAGACGGCCCAAGAGGCCCGCAAGACATCACAAGAGGCCCCCAAGGGGACCCCAGACGCAAACATCGTCCCTTTCCGTAAGAAAACCGTGCATGTTCAACATATTTGCTTCTTCGGTCTCCACGGCGTCCAAGACGGACAAGAGACCTCACAGATCGCCCCAGGAAGGCCCACAAAGTCCCCCAAAAGGGCCCCAAGACGACCTAAAAGACTCCAAGATGGCCCACGACGGGCCCCAGAGAGTCCAAAACGGCGCTCCCAGGAGATCCCAAGAAGGCCCCAGGAGGCTCCCAAGAGGTCGACATCTCCTTGTCCTTCTTCTTCTCCTCCTCCTCCTCCTCTTCCGGCTCCTCCTTCTTCTCCTCATTTTCCTCCTCCCTTTTCCGTCTCCTCCTCATTCTCCCCTTCCTCACGTGTTCCCCAAAGGGTTTCAAAGACGGCTGGGGGAACACATGGTCCGATAGATTGGCCAAGAACTAGCCCAACTTTCGGACACACGGGCGCTTCCAAAAAGGCAGGTGGCGGCGGTGATTCGCCGTAGGCGTCTTCGATCAAAAAGAAACAGAGACAGAGACAGAGACAGAGGGCCAGAGAGAGAGAGAGAATGAGCGATAGAGAGATGGACGGTGGAAGAGGAAAAGAGAGAGAGAGAGAGAGAAAGAAAAAGAGAGAGAGAGAGAGTGAGATGGAGAGAGAGAGAGAGAGAGAGAGAGAGAGCGCGCGGCAAAGAGAGAGAGAGAGAGACATCGAGAGGGAAAGAAGCACGAGCCGCCGCATCCGTGAGCGTGGGAGAGCCCTGGCGAGGGCAGGGCGGGTGACGGCAGGAGCTCGGGACGGCGCCGCGCATCCCGCCGCGACTCTTCTCACAGAGTGTGCCTCGAGTCTTTCCTCCACTCAGACAACAAAAAGGAAAACTAAAACACGGGGCGCCGCCGGCCGGCAGGCCGCGATGCGCGCGGGCAACGGAGCCGCTCGCAGGGGTGCGGAGGAGCTCCGAGGACAGGGCGAGCAGCCAAGGGCGGGGGCTCGGGAAGGGGGGGAGGGCGGATCAAGAAGAGGGGCAGGATCGACCGGATGGGAGGGGGAATGAAAGATTGAGGAGGGAGGAGGAGACGAAGGATCGAAGGGGAGGGGAGGAACGAAGGAAAGAGGAAGAAACATACGGTATCAAATATGCTGATGGCGTCCGGTCATTTGGGGGGCTTCCAGTGGCGTCCGAAGGCCTTCGCGGCTTCCTGGACGCTCTGGGAGGAGGGGCGAAACGAATTTCGACGTTCCCGCTTCCCGTTTTCAGCCTCCTGGAGGGCACTACACACGGTGCCCGATCCTAAGTTGCACGGCGCGTCGCCAACGTGCAAGGCAGCATAAGCACATTCGTGCACCTCTCCTTGTTTTGTATACGCTTACGCATGCATGCATGATGTGCGTGTGATTGCGTTGCGCGCGCGGTACGCGCCCAAGCCTCCGCCGCCAAGGATATGTGTCGACCGATCGTGATGTCGTTTCACGTCTGCCACACAGATGCGCTCATGCACGACATGCCATGGTCGCGCATGCACTATCTGGCCATGGAACATGCTGCAGTGCCACACGAGCGACGATCAGAAACGGGTCTTACGCGAGACGGCGTAGCGACCTTACGCGGTGGCTCACGCGGGCCGCCCGCGCGGCACGCTGCATTGGAGACGAGGGCGCCCACACCCTACCTCACGCCGGCAGCTTACGCGCAACTGTCGGCGCAGACGACCCTGTTCTTTTCTTGCGCCGCTCACACGAAGTGTCATCTCGAGAGGTCGCCTGGTGCCTCCGCCTCGTGTCGCCCAGCAGGCTCAGGGCGTTCCCTCGCTGGGACGGGGGTGGGCGGTGGGGGGGGGCGAGGGGGGCGGCCGCCCTGATCCCCCAGGCGCAACCCGAACGGCGCACCCCCATCCCCGGCGCTGCCCACGCACCAACGCTCCTTCCCGCGAAATGCGGCAACGACCCGCTCGGGACAATGCCCTTGGCACAGTGCTGAGAAATGCGCGGCGCCCCGCCCCGCCCACCCCCCCCTCTTCACTTGTCTACGCGTATGACCCCAGACGGGGGAGCATGCCTGCGCCGACAAGCCTGCGCCGTGCCGCGCGAAGTGCCTGCGATAATGCCGCGATGCGCAGGCGATGCCTGCACCAGTTTGTTTGATGCGCCTGCGGTGCCTGCACTTTGCCATGCGCAGTGCCAGCGCCGAAAAACCCAAATGCCTGCAGCGCCTGTGCTAACTGACGCGGCGATGCCTGCACCCTACTATCTGACACGCATGTTGTGCATGCGCCTTGCCATGCGCAGTGCCCGCGCCGACAAGAACGCAATTCCTGCGGCGCTTGCGCGAACGCCAAGATGCACCAGCGATGCCTGGCCCTATTATTTGACGCGCCTGCGGTGCATGCGCTTTCCAATGCGCAGCGCCTGCGCCGACAAAACCCAATGGCTGCGGCGCCTGCACTAACGCCAAGATGCACAAGCGATAGCTGCATCAGTAGAGTACCAATGCTTCGTCCAGCTCATAAGGACATAATGGAAACGCCTGTAGCTTCCACTGCTGGATTCGCCTCGAGAATAAGGAGGAGGGGTACGGAAATCCATCATTTATACAGGTCAACCTCCGTCATACTCACTGCCCTCTTCTCATCCTAGTATCGTTCTCTCCCTTCCCGGGAGGAAGGAGGGGGAGGAACGAGTTGGATCTATTCAGTTTAACTGTCATCCTCTGACGGGAGGAGAAGAAGGAGGAGGAGGAGGAGGAGCTGGAGGCTATGGAGAAAGGAGAATGCGGAGGCGGGAGCAGAGGACACGGAGAAAGAGCGGGAGGAGGGAGGAGGGCCAGGTGAAGGAGGACCAAAATCGGGGCCACGACCGCGGCTCATTGTGCAACGGGCGAAAGGCGAAGGGTGCAGCTGGGAGTCAGAACCAGCGCACCTCGGATGGGGCATGCCGCTCGCCAGAGGTGTCCGATCGGCCATGGGCTTCACGAGGGAGGGACGGACGAGGGGGTGAGGGAGGAGGAAGGCAGCGGGGACCAGGGAGTACACTGCGCAAGCACAGACTTACAGAGGGCCGCGTGGAGTTCTCGGATCGGCGCTGAGTCCCCCTCTCCCTGGAACCGCGAGGGCCTAAGCGCCGATCCAGGAAATCCGCGAGGAGCTCCAAGAGTTTATGTTTATGCTGTTTCTTTTTCGTCCAGAGTGAGGAGGGATGGCGGAGGAGGAACGACGTGGGATAGCAGGGGGCAGGACGCAAAAAAACGGGGCTAAGACAAGATGCCCATCATTTCTGGGTTCTTGTGTATTCTCATCGCCAGCTCAGAGGCCTCCGCCTTCTGTGCGCCCTTCTCAACGAGCATCTCAGCGACGTCTACACGATCGAAGACGGCCGCCAGCTTCAACCTGGTTGGGAAGGCTGCAAAACATTGTGCGCGCGAACCACCCGACTGGTGTGGCCGAGGTTGCGTCGAACATGGCTGGGCCTCTGGGCATCACGAAACACATCCAACTGACGTGTTCCTCGATGTGTGCCCCTGAGGGCTGCTGGAGGGGCCCCAGAGACGACCAGAAGACAAGACAGCATCAGGAAAGTCCTGGGAACTACGTCGGAGGCCTGGGCGCGAGTACAGTAAACACCTTTTACGTCGGCGGCGAGGCAGAGGTATACTGCACCAGCGGGGAGCGATTCGGGGCAACCGAAAGGCGAGTTGGCCAGCATACAATCGAGTACAGGAAACACATATGACGATGACCTTGCCATGAAGAGTTTAGGGGCAAGTTCGCCGTCCGTCGCTTCCCTAACCGAGCGGCCCCAGCACTTCTGCGGATCCTCGGAGCCTTTCGGCGATAAGAAATTCCCGTGGGGCACCTGCTTCGAGTAAGAAGAACAGCACGAATATAAACTGTTGGAGGTTCGCTCGGATTCTTGGATCTGCGCTGGGCCCCCTTCCCTGGCGCCAGACGCGCCGCCAGGGGGGTCCGTCGCGGACCCAAGGCATCCGCGCGGCGCTCCAACAACTCGCTATGTTTACAGTGTTCTTTCTTCCTCGGCTGCTAGCAAGGTGGCCTCTTGTCCGATGTGCTTACGGCATGGACACGCCCACCTTGAGGACCACACACGGTTCCAGAACACCACAGGCCGAGCGCGAAACGTCAGGAAGCGGCAGCGCCGCGCGGCCACGCAGAGGGCTATGCACGACGGCCTGCTTCGACCTCCACCTCCTCCACCTCCTCCTCCTCCTCCTCCATCCATCCTCCACCCTCCACCCTCCATCCTCCATGATCCATCCTCCATCCTCCATCCTCAATCATCCATTTTGCATCCTCCATCCTCCATCCATCCATCCTTCATTGTTCTCACTCCTCCACTTGCACCCCCTCCTCATTATCCTTCTCCTCCTCATCATCAGCATCATCACCATCATCGTCCTCCTCCTCCTCCTCATCATCATCCTCCTCCTCATCATCATCATCAATATCACCATCAACAACATCATCGCCATCACCATCATAATCATCATCATCAGCACCAGCATCAACATCATCATCAGCAGCATCATCATCCTCAGCATCGTCATCGTCAGCATCATCAGCATCATCCTCATCATCATCGTCATCATCATCGTCGTCATCATCATCATGATCATCGTCATCATCATCCTCGCCATCGTCAACATCATTACCACCACCACCACCACCACCAGCATCATCATCATCATCATCATCATCATCATCATCATCATCATCATCATCATCATCATCATCATCATCATCATCATCCCCATCCTCATCCTCATCATCAGCATCATCAACATGCTAAGCATCGTCAGCATCATCAGCATCATCGTCACCACCATCAGCATCAGCCTCAGCATCATCATCAGCAGCAGCATCGCCATCATCATCATCATCGGCATTATCATCACCATCAGAATCATCATCAGCATCAACATCATCATCATCCCTCTCATTCCGACTCCTTCTCCTCAACATGATCATCAGCAGCAGCATCATCAGCATCATCATCTGTATCATCATCAGCATCACAATCAGTATCATCAGCACCAGTATCATCATCATCATAATCAGCAGCACCATCAGCACCATCAGCATCGTCATCATCAGCATTATCAGAATCAGCATCATCAGCATCATCAGCAGCAGCAGAAGCAGCATGATCGCAAACATCATCATCGTCATTACCATATCATCATCACCATCAGCATCATCATCATCAGCAGCATCATCATCCCTCTCACTCCTCCTCCTCCTCCTCCTCCTCCTTCTCCTCCTCCTCCTCCTCCTCCTCCTCCTCCTTCATCGATCCTCCACACTCCACCCTCCATCCTCCATGATCCATCCTCCATCCTCCATCCTCCACCCTCAATCATCCATTCTGCATCCTCCATCCTCCATCTATCCATCCCCCATTGTTCTCACTCCTCCTCTTCCGCCTCCTCCTTCGCCTCCTCCTCCGCATCATCATCATCATCCTCATCTCCAGCATCATCACCATCCTCATCATCCTCATTATCATCATCAGCATCATCACCATCATAATCATCATCATCATCATCATCATCATCATCATCATCATCATCATCATCATCATCATCATCACCACCAGCAGCAGCAGCAGCATCATCCTCATCGTCATCATCCCCATCATAATCATAGTCATCAGCATCAGCATCAGCATCAACATCATCAACAGCAGCATCATCCTCAGCATCAGCATCATCATCAGCAGCATCATCATCAGCAGCAGCATCATCGTCATCGTCATCGTCATCGTCATCAGCATCACCACCACCACCACCACCATCATCATCATCATCATCAGCATCATCATCATCATCATCCTCATCCTCATCCTCATCATCATCAGCATCGTCAGCATGCTCATCATCGTCAGCATCATCAACATCATCATCAGCATCATCAGCATCAGCATCAGCATCAGCATCAGCAACAGAAGCAGCATCGTCATTATCATCATCACCATCAGCATCATCATCATCAGCATCATCATCCCTCTCAGTCCGAATCCTCCTCCTCATCATCATCAGCAGCATCATCAGCATCATCATCGTCAGCATCATCATCACCATTATATAATCAACATCACCATCATCAGCATCACCATCAGCATCATCAGCACCAGTATCATCATCTCCATCAGCAGCACCATCAGCATCATCATCATCATCGTCATCATCATCATCATTATCAGCATTATCAGCAGCAGAAGCATCATGATCATAACCATCATCATCGTCATTACCACATCATCATCACCATCAGCATCATCATCAGCAGCATCATCACCCCTCTCACTCCTCCTCCTCCTCCTCCTCCTCCTCCTCCTCCTCCTCATCATCATCATATCATCATCATCATCATCATCATCATCATCATCATTATCATCATCATATCTCATCATCTCATCCTCATCCTCATCTCATCATCACTCTCACTCCTCCTCGTCATCATCCTCCTCTGCATCATCATCATCACCATCACCATCACCATCACCACCATCACCATCACCATCACCATCACCATCACCATCATCATCATCATCATCATCATCATCATCATCATCATCATCATCATCATCATCATCATCGTCATCGTCATCGTCATCATCGTCATCGTCGCCCTTCTCCCTCCCCCCCGTCCCCCCTCCCCTCCCCGTCTGCGCAGTGACACGAAGCCTGATCACCCGCCGCGCGCGTGCATGCTTACATCATGCGTGCGGGTTGCACAAATGTCTGCCCCAGACCGTGCCCCGCCCGTTCACGGGTCCACCCTTTCTGTTTGACTGGGCCTCTGCCTGCCCCCACAGACAGCCCAAGAGGGCCACAGGAGGACCCCATGGAGCTGAAAAGCATTTTTCGAAGCAGAAGATCACCAGGTACGTTCGCCTACGGTATCGAGACGTCCCCTCGTTTTTCTCCTCTCCTCTTCCGCCCTCATCTGCTCCTTCTTCTCTTTCGCCTCCTCCTTCCCCCCCTTCCTCTCATCATCATCACCATCCCCCTCAAGGAACCGACGAGGCCAAAACTCAGGGACTTTCCCGTGGTTGTTGACAGATTGGGGCCCTTCCCCTCTTCGGGCCCTTCCGCTCCCGACGACCCTCGAGGCCTCGAAGATGGCACCAAGACAGCCCACGAGGGCCCTAAACTTGCCAAGCATCCTCCAAGACGGCCTCAAGACAGCCCAAAGAGGACTCCCAGGCGGCCCAGGAGGGCGGCAAGGGGGTTCCAGGCTGGCCGAAGAGGGACCCAGGACGGCCTACGCGAGCCCCCATCGACGGCCCAAGGCGGCCCCACGACGGCCGCGAGAGCCCCCCCCCCAGACAGCCAGGAGGGCCCCAAAGCGGCCAGAGAGAGCCCCAAAACGGCCCCTGAGGGCCCCGAGACGACCCCTGGAATGACACTTGTGCCCTGACTCGTGCACGGCTGGGCCCCAGGGATGGGGCTGGTAGGCGCGGCGCTGAGGAGGGGAACAGCTTGGGAGACGGCACAGCGAAAATAGCCTCTCGATCCATACTCACTCTTCGACGCGCAGGGGGGACGAACGGAACGAACGAAGGAGCGAACCACGGCGAAGACGAGCAGCCCAGAGCTCCAGGAGACAGGACACAGGACTTCAGCACCCCCGAGGCGGCCCCAGTCGGTGGGCGGGGGTGGGCGCGAGCGGGGAGCGATGCGGCCCATGCCTCCTTGGCCGGCCCCTGTGGGCCGCCCGGTGCTCTGCCCCGCCGTCGTCGTGGCCGTGGTCGTGGTTTGGCTGTCGTCCTCGTCGTGGCCGTCGGTCGTCGCGGCTGCTGCTGGCGCCGCCCAAGGCCGCCGCCGTCGTCGGACAGCGCCGGCTGCCGCCGCTTTGCAGACGGCCCGGGCGACGCTGTCATCCCGTCCGCGTCCTTGTGCTCCATGTTCGCCCCCTGCGCGCTGCTCTCTCTCTCTCTCTCGCGGCCCCCCCGCCGCTCTCAGCCCGCGGCCTGTCCGCTCGCCTGCATCGCTGCGCACCGCCCCCACTGCACGGGCTTCTGCAAAAAGCCGCGCTGTTCCCCAACTCTGGGCATGTCCTGAGGAGCGCCTGCTGTTCGCCGAAGGGTGGGGCTGGGCCGTTGGGCGAGGCCGGGCCTGACTCTGATCATCCGGGCCCAAGCCTTGCAGCTGGCGAAATCGTCGTGGTGCCAAAACGCCATTCCCGGGCCTCGTGAAGGCCATCCGGGCACGGGCCTCACAGCCGGTCGCGACGTAGTCAGTGTTGCCAGAACTCGTACCGTTGGCATGCCTGCGACCACACGGGCGCAACAATTATAGGGGCCAGCTCGTCGCGCTGCCAGAACTCCACTCGCAGAGCTGCTTTTGACCATCGAGAGCCAACGCAGAAGCGATTGGTGTTTTCCATGCTCGGATAAAAAAAAAAAAAAAA